GGGTTAAAATGGTTAAAATAATATATTATTAATAATATAAAAAAAAATAGCAACCTACTGTTTAAAATTCATTTCCAGCAATTTTTTTTTTTAAATGTTGGATAGATAAGAAACATTTCCCATCTTTTACTATCCCAGTGAACAAACAGAAAGTGAGTAGAAAAAAAACGCAGTAAAACAGAATACAAAATGCTTTATAATGGTGATAGGGAGTAGGTAAAACTGTCTGCTTGTTTCAGGTTTTCTCTTAATTTGCTGTTTGGGAAAACTTGTCACCGGAACAGTAAGTGATGGTCAATCTCTCTGATACAACCCCAGATAGCAGTGAAAACCAAGTTATCGCTAACTGAACATATTAGATCAGAATGGCATTATTTCTCTTTTGCAGGGCTTAGTGACACTGAAAAGGCAATAAACAGTGCTTAGCCAAATGTTCATTCCTTTGTAAAAGCTAACTATAAGTTGTAAATATCTGCATGATCCTTACTAAAAAAAACTCCATAATGTTTTTAGGAAATGATAAAGTGATGAACATAGTAGCTTGTCAACGTAAAATATGTTTTCTGAACACCATATATTTACTTACATATTTTAATGCTTTTGGATAATACTTTTTATTATGGTAGCATATCAAACTTTTTCTGTAAATCTTTACATTTTTTCCTGAAATTAGTTAGCTGTTTCTGTCTGCTTCCTGAACAATAAAACTGTCAGTTCTATGGTATTGGTAGTATCTTTGGGGATTTTGTTGTCTAAGTGGAAATTTGTTTCAGCGCTATGGACTATAATAGTTGCCAGAAACCAGGCTGTTTCACAGTTAATTTGTCAGATCAACAAAATTTACCAATGATAAATTTCCAATTCTAAAGGCAAAATTCCAATTTTCCAATGCAGTTTAAAGCTGGTTATACATGGCTCAAAATTCAGCCGATTTCTGCTGCAGTGGCCAACATTTGAATTGTTGGTGACCCTGTCGACCCTAGCAAGCTTGTCAAAAGTCAATCTAAATGTTGGAAAATTCTTTGCTGAACAGTGACTGAGTCTTATCAGATGCAGTCACTGTTTGAGTATTCAGGCAGCAGCAGCACAGACAATGCTAAAGCCAGCATAGGACCTTCCTCCATTCACACTGTTTGGAATGGTTTGATGAATTTATTGATTTTTTTCTCATTTAGTCTGCAAACTGAACATGAGAAATTAAACTTTTATGGTTTACATAAGGGCCTCCCTAAACAATGTATTCAAAATACATCTACTGAAGTAAGCATTCACCCTACACAGTTGATGGCAACATTTTTTTTTAAATAAAGTGATTTAAGATTCTAAAAAAAACCTGTTACTCGCCTTGTAACAAGGCGTGTAGCATGTAACAAACCAGTAACTGGTAAAACTTATTTTTTTGTAGTGGCAGGAATCTCTGGCATAAGTAAGTTAGCTTTTTTAAGTATAATTAAAGTAATTGAAGTATACGTATATAAGTTGTGGTATTGTGTGACAATTCTACTGTAGAATTGGGTTTTATGATCACCCAGAACTCTTAGCCAGTGGGGCTTAGAGGTGTCAGGAAGCAAGGGCTTGTCTGGGTTCTGCTTGGGATTCTGGAACTGGGAGATTTCAAAGTGATTCAGTAGGGGCAGGGGGCGTGGCTGTGGTGCCATGGACTTCAATGCACCACCATGCCCCCTCCCGCCCCTGAACGCAGGGAGCCGGCCGGCTTGCATTCCAGTGCACTCCAGAGGACGAACGCATGAAGTTAAAGTGGAGTCAGGTGGTCTGTGTGCTGGAGGCACACAAAGACAGCCAGGGAGGTTGGAGAGAACTGCTGAGGCTAGGAGAGCTATGAGCTTGAGAAGCTGCCAGTACAATTGTGGGACATCCGTTCCAAGAGGACCAGTGGGTCAGAAGTGGTATTGTTTTTTTAATTTGTTTTAGTTTTCTTTTTTTTTTTAAAGCCCGTGGAGCGTGCTCGAAAACGAATCCCCTGTGAACAAAAAAAGTGAATCGTGAAATCACAACACACTGAAAAAAGTGCACAAGGGTGCTTGGTCCTTCTCCGAAAAGAAGGGGCCACAATATCCTGACCCCCCGGGGCACAAGGCTCCTGACAGGGGCTAGGACAACTTTGGTCCACCAACCCGAAGGCCGGCGGACCCCGATCCTCCAGGACCTGCCGAGACAGGTCCCACAAGTACTAGGTTGGAGGGCTCTGCCGAAGAGAGACCCCCCACAGGTGGGAGAAGACAGATGTCCCCATAAGGGTCACAGAATCTCCTCCCCAACATCAGAAAGGGCCCCGAAGGTACCCGCACCCGTTGCCATCTGTGGGTCAAATTTCAATTTAAAAAAAATAAAATAAATCTAAAGTGCCAGTGCACCACGCTGACAGGCCTTAAAGGCCGGAGTGCAAAAATATTGCCCCGGACTAGCCATAAGGCCTAAAAGTTTTCTTTAGCTCTTGGCGCTAATGGCTGCCAGCTGAACAATCCACTTGCTGTTACACACTCAAAGTTTTCAACAGTTTATCACAGTTTTTTACACAGACTTGAGGGGCTGCTCATCCAAGGCTCTGGGGCTTCCACCACGAACATAGAAAACAAAAGGGAACAGAGCGCCACCTCCGTGTGTAAAATAGCCATAAGGCCTGTCTAAGAGGCGAGAAGTGGTATTGTTTAAAGTGAAAGCCAGGAGGCTAAACTTGTGTTGTTTTTAAGCATTGCATGGATGTTATGCTGAACATCCCCTGCGAGGGCATCCAAGGTAGATGTGTGAACTTTCGATTCAATAAAAGTAGGCCACCAGGCCCTTAAACAAAAGATGTTGCAGGACTGCACAGATTCAATAAAATAAGTCCAGCTGCTAAGGGGTAAAGGTAAATGTTAGAAGTTAGATTAGGGATTAAGTTTAAGAAGGACTACGATTAGGGGTTGACTTTAACCCTTTTGCTGCCAAGCCCTCCGGAACTCTTTACACCTCAGCTGGCCACACCACTTTTGCAATTTTTCCCATTGTTTTGATTTTCTACTGCTGCGTTGCTAAAAGAACCCCCAAACTATATATTTTCTGAAAACAAAGGTCTGGTAGAATAAAAACATGGTGCTACTAAATGTGTAGGCCCTGCCATAATTGCACAAATGTGTCTCAAATCAATATTAAACCGATACAAATACACAATTCAATTGATAAAGCACACTAAAATCAATAAAAATAAAACTGTATTGAGTTAATAAATAACAAATATTTGTAAATTTTAAATTGTGCCTTTTAGCAAAACTGTAAACAAATGAAGCAACACAAAACTGTAAATATGGGACTTATGTTAAAAATCGTTTGTGCACTGTGTTGGTGTTTGTGTTGTGATAAAATGATACAGGCGTACATTTAATTGCAACACAGCATATCACAATGCACAGCAATGCATCACAATGGTTTACCATGCGCTGCCACACAGTTAAATTAATGATGTTTTAAAAAGAAAAAAAAGGAATTAAATCAAGCAATGCGATGTGCTCTAACAACGCAGGGCATGTGCATGTGTTCGTTATGTGTGTGTTTGGGGGGGTTGTGTTTTATTTAAAAATGTATTTTATTATTTATTTTAAACAAATAATAACAGGGGTCTAAACAGATCCCTGAAATTTCCTTTTTGAAGTAGAAAAAGAAATTGAGTTCCATTCTCTTTTTCTGCAGCTTCAGATTCTGGCTTCACTTTAAAGTCCATTAATGAGCTCCAGTGTACACAGCAAAGGCATGAGCTGCAGTGCTGAGTAAAAAACAGCAAATAGTGAAGGTTTAAAGTATAGTTCCACGTTTGCAGCTAAATTGAAATATTGCTTATTTTATGTTTATTATATATTCCAATTTACATTGCCTAACTTAAAAAGATTGCTGCTTACTTTTTAGGTGTTCTATACTTGCTTAAAAATCCTACCTAGCCTCCCCCCCGTGTAGTGTTAAGGAGGATGCTGTGCAAAATGGTTTCGTTTTATTTACCTGGTCTGTACTGCGCTAGCAGATTTCATTATCCATTGTAAACTGGATCTCAGTCTAACCATCTCGTTTCACTTACTAGCTACACAGAGTAGCTTGGAATCTGTGCAAATGGCCTTCACCAAAGAAACAGCTAAAAGGTAAGAAATATATTTTTACAAAAATATTTTACGCTATACTGTGTGAATGGGAACATGTAACAAACATACATTGGGGGTTTTCTCAAATGTGATTGCAAAAGTGGAAATAAGCTTTAAAGCTGGTTGTTATAGCCACAATATAAACCACCAACACTAAGCTTGATATTCTAATTCAGGTTCCAAAGGAGAGGAAATTTCATGTTGCCGTAGCTGTGGCAGGTCCATCAAACATGAGACAAAAGCAAATGGTGGTGGAGGAAGGGGGAGGAGCTTCACACTAGAAGCTCGGTAGGCTAAAGCACTGCATACTCTTGTGTTGTGATGAAGAAAAAAATTGCAACATAATGCAAGATAATTTATGTTTAGCTACTCGTAGCACAAAAACGAAACAAGCTCCCCAATGCGTTTCAGCAAAAGGGGTGGGGGGCAATTAAACACTTGTTTTTGTAATTAAAATACAAATAGAGAGCTCAGTTGAAAACATTTCCAAATATGTACTTCAGCTAGTTTGGTTCCTACTCATATTTGTGAAAATGTCTGCAATTAACCATAGCTACAAGCTATCAAATTTAAACTTTCAGCAATTTAAGGTGGACTAGTGAAAGACTGGTTAGAACACTGTGTACATGTTAAAAGGCTTGCATGCCTTGATTCCTTTTTTTGTTCGTTTTTAGGACACCTCTTTAAATGCACCATACAGCAGAAGGAAGTTGCAGCTCATTTAATATAGAAGAATATGGAACTTTCAAATCAGTCTCTTGTTACACAGTTTATTATTGTAGGCTTTCCTGATCTTGGTGGATATGAGGCCTTGTTGTTTCTGCTTCTGATTGTCAGCTACATTTTTACTCTAAGTGGTAATATCACAATAATCACCCTTATCTGTACACACCACAAACTTCATGTTCCTCTCTACCTCTTTGTTGCTATACTCTCCTTCTTGGAACTCTGGTACACCACTGTCACTATACCAAAAATGTTGACAAATTTACTAAATGTTAAAATCATCTCTTATGTTGGCTGTTTATTGCAGATCTATTTTTTTCATAGCTTGGGGATCACAGAAACCTATCTTCTAACAGCAATGGCCTTTGACCGCTACATGGCCATATGCAACCCTTTAAGGTACCCATCCATAATGACTATTGCGTGTTGTTTTCAAATGGCAGCTTGTTGTTGGGTTATTGGCTTTCTTGGGCCTTTAACACAAATGATCTTGTTGTCTCATCTTTTCTTTTGTGGTTCCAATAGCATTGAGCATATCTTCTGTGACTTTACTCCACTCATGAATTTAGCCTGTTCGGACATCTCACTCAATGTTGCAGTTGACTTTGCCATCAATTCCTTTCTCCTTTTCCTTGCTTTTACTTGTATTATTCTATCTTATTTGAAAATAATTTTCACTGTCTTAAAAATAAAGACAGCTGAAGGAAGGAAAAAAGCATTTTCTACATGTGGAGCTCATCTGACAGTGGTCTTTCTTTTCTTTGGCAGTGTGGGTTTTATGTATGTTAGACCAATCAAAACGAACTCTGCAAACTATGACCGTGTAATGGCTGTGATTTACTCAGTTTTAACACCAATGTGCAATCCAGTAATTTACAGCCTAAGGAATCAAGAAATTAGACGAGTACTGAGAAAGACATTAAAAGCGTTATTTTAAAGACCTTGTTTTAAAGGTTTGTTACATCCAATTTTAAATATTAGATTGGTTATCTGGATCACCACTGGTTACAGTGATCTCTGGGGGACACTGTCAGTAAAATCTTTTTGGTGAAGCTCCTGGATCTTCGTTTTCTAATATGGACTGTCACTCTTCCTGCTGCAACATGAGGAGCTCTACTCCTTCTCTTGATTCATTCTTGATGAAAAATAAATATAGAAATCAGCACAGGATTTTCAAGTGTGTCAAGCCAAAACATTATTTGTTAGTTTTGGATAGATAAGGGAACAATGCTTATAAGGATAAGAACTGTCAGGGTTTACTGCTATCTGGGGCTTTGTTAGGGAGATTTTTTCCTCACTTCAGTTTCACCAGACAGTACGTGAGGGATAATCTGCAACAGGGAAACAAACAGAAATAAATATCTGACCGGGGTTCTAGCCTTTCCCTACTCTACTAAAGAAAATCATTTTTATTTCTGTTTGTGTTGCTCTTGGAGAGTTCCCCTCACTTCCTGTCTGGTGATATGTTAGCACGTCAGGAAGTAAGATGAAATCTTACCAGTACCAACCCGACAGGGATTATAACCCTTACTAATAAACCACAGACCCCCACCCCCCAAAAAAATTAAGTTAAACACCCCCAATAATGTTGCCACCCCGCAAAACATATATTTGCTGCCTACAGTTTCTAATAAATCTCAATGGAAATACTTTAAAAAAAATCTTTTTTCAAGAGGTCATGTGACCACAAAGCGCCAGCTAGTGTGTCTATCTGCATAGGCTCTCTTTATGCCCTGATGAAGAGACCCTGCGCGGTCTCAAAATGTTGGCTTTTGTGATTGTGTGACGTTTATGTCCAATAAATGGACGTATTGGATTATTCTACTGAGTGCTGGTGATTTATCTTCCAATATCTGCATAGGCTGACTACGTGCAGTGACGTCAAGCTATTGGCGACCATAGCAATAAGGCTTTTCTGGTCCTGAAAGAGTACTGCCTATGAGCTGCGCTGACAGGCACATTTGCCAAAGCAAATTAAAAAAAGATTCAAAAAGTATTTCCATTGAGACTTATTAGAAACTATGCAGCAAATATGAGCTGTAAGGAAGCAATGTTTAAAAGGCCTGTTATTTTATAGCCTTCCCTCCAATGTCAACACTGCCACCAATAAGGCTAGGGAAAGGGGGGGCAAAATGAACCTGTTTAATTATACCCCCCCCTTCCCCAGCCTCATTGGTGGCAGCATTGTTAATGATTTTGCCCCCTCCCTTTCCTTAGAATCATTGAAAGTATGCATTGTGCACCTCATCCTCTCTAGGCCCCAGCTTATAATAATTAATTAATGGAAACCCCCCCTCGTGTAGATATGCATTGTGCACAATGTTTCCCCATCCCCGGGACAAAGTAATTAGTGGCAAGCTGGCAATTATTACTGTAGGCTGGGGACAGTGGGGGGACAGTGGGGTGGGCCTGGGTTTGTGCATATTGTATACCTACACTAAATCTGGGAGCTATACTGGTTAACACTGCAGCTACCAATAGAGCTGGGGTAAGGGGGTTATAAACTTTTGGAGCACTTCATGTTTCCGTCCGCAGATGAGCTCTATGGGGATGCTGACTTCATTTTCCAGCAGGACTTGGCACCTGCCCACACTGCTAAAAGCACCAAAACCTGGTTCAATGACCGTGGGATTACTGTGCTTGATTGGCCAGAAAACTCGCCTGACCTGAACCCCATAGAGAATCTATGGGGCATTGCCAAGAGAAAGATGAGAGACATGAGACCGAACAATGCAGAAGAGCTGAAGGCCGCTATTGAAGCATCCTGGTCTTTCATAACACCTCAGTAGTGCCACAGGCTGATAGCTTCCATGGCACCCGCATTGAGGCAGTAATTTCTGCAAAAGGGGCCCAAACCAAGTACTGAGTACATATGCATGCTTATACTTTTCAGAGGTTCAATATTGTTCTATGTACAATCCTTGTTTTATTGATTGCATGTAATATTCTAATTTTCTGATATTGTGGATTTGGGGTTTTCATGAGCTGTAAGCCATAATCATCACAATTATGACAAATCACGGCATGAACTATCTTGCTTTGCATGTAATGAGTCTATCTCATATATTAGTTTCACCTTTTAAGTTGCATTAGTGAAATAAATGAACTTTTGCACGATATTCTAATTATTTGAGATTCACCTGTAATCTAATGGAAATTCCCTGACCTGGATGGCCCCAGAGTGGCACATACACACTTTTATTTTTTTTACTTATTTTTCAGATTGTCTAATCTCTAAACATGTCCCATAGTGTATCTTCAATTAATGTACTGTGTATTTATTGATTAATATTGTGGTAAAGAAAAATATTATTTTTAGCTTTGGATTAGAGTGGGGAAAGATTAGACACTTCCATCAGGTTGTATTGCCTGTATGCCCACTGAGCTTTGGATTAGAGTGGGCAAAAATTAGACACTTCCATCAGGTTGTCTTGCAGCCTGTATGCCCACAGATTCAGCCCTCTATTTTTCCTGGTGAACTATGTCACTAAGAGAGAAAATAAGTGAACATTCTAAATGTTATCATAATAGAAAAAGGTGACCTGAACTTCCTGGACCTTATGTGGTTATACCAAGATCACAACTGCAGCTGCAGTCATGATCGTTAACAGCAGACTGAAGGCATGAGGTTTCTTCAGAGCTGACAAATTCCTGGCTAGTAAACAGTCAATCGGCTTGTGTAGAAGTTAGCGGAGACATTAGGGGTCTAATTAACCCATGATGGCTTTTTAGTCCCCCTTGTGAAAGCATTGGAAAAAAGATTAAAAGCAACCCCCTCTGCCCATGCGCGTAAATGCAAACACATAAATAGGCCACACGTGTATGTGAACAGTGATTGTGTAACATGTTAGGTATTGTTACAAATGTCGGATTAAGAGCAATAATTCTAGGACAACTTTTGTTACTATAGTTTTTCGTCATTTCAATTTTAAGGCTTGATATCTTTTATATCTATTTACTCAATTTAAGCTTATTACATGTTTTATATTTTTTATAATTATGTGTTTGTGTGTATTAAAATTCATTTTAGTGTATATTTTCCAAAAATATTGATTTGGCAAACATTTGCGCAAATATTGTGTGACATTAAACATTGCAACTTTAATTTTTTTATACTACAGGACATCTGCTTTCAAAATTATATAATTGCTTAGGGGGTTTAAGGAATTTTCTACCCATAATTTAGATTTATCCTGTGTGCAAACAAAAATTAAAATAAATCGCTCACTTAAGTAACAATAAGTGATGGGTCTTGATGTCAAAACTGTCAAAATGCCCTAAATTGGTAAGGTGACAGCATCTCTTTAAAACTGTCCTCCTGGCACCACTTAATTCTTCTTCTTTAAGGGTTTGTTCACACCATGTCTGGACCATGTCCAGACCAGAACACTGTGTTCCCGGACCAAAAAAGAATCGGCGTGTATACTTGTAGTATTTCTGGACTCTGTTCACACCAGCACAGTCCATTCCAGTCCAGACAAAATGTTCTGCTTTTCTCATTTTCTCTGGTCTGAAATGCACCAGAACACATGCAAACACATAAATAATGCATACAAGTGCATGGAAATGCACTGGACTGTACCCGAAAGCACCAGAATCGCAGTAAAAACACATAAAAAATGCACTGCACTGCGTTTCCAGATCTGCTTCAGATCTGGTGTGAACAAAACCCTAATACTGCTCAGATAAGATACCAGCCACCTAAAGAGTGCAATGTTTATGGTGGGGATTTCTTCACTTTCTTGATAAAAATGCAAATCCTTTGTACATTTTCTGTGCATATGAATGAAAACTTAAATTTAACTGTGCATATGAATGAAAACTTAAATTTAACATCTTAAGCCATTTAAGCTAGATGGAGGCTGGGATAAAAATAATGTTCATTATAATGTGTTTCTTTTTGCTGGACAGAAAGTAACTCGCGTGCCAAATTTTTCCATTCATATTTTTGCAATAGGGATACACTAAAAGTCACTTTTGTCACAGCTGGTCCACAATTCCTTGATGAACAGGACTCCAGGGAGCATGTGAAAAATGGGTTCTTGACATTCTTTCTCTCATAATGAAGCCTTAATGCTGTCCCATAATAGAGTCCTTCCTTCATCTATCTCTGCCCAGGCTTATATTGAGATCTTTGTAGTGTTGTGGAAATTTTACTAGGATGTGTTTTTAGTGTATTGTAATATTTTGTCATTATGTCTCTCAGTTTCTAGGTTTAAATAGGCACTGGGGTTAAACCATTGGAGTAGATATCTTATGCATGGCGGAGCAGTGTCTTCTTAGCCAGTGTGTGGACGCCAGGCTAGGGCCCCTGCGCGGTGCACGGATTTATTGGTTTGGCGTGTATACAACTTGCTTTGAGGACATAGTATTATTTAAGATACATATCTGCCTTTATGAAAGGAACGTGCGTTTGTTGTCTCTAGTGCGCCTGATCAACCGCTGGAGAGTATATGACGTTGTCCCTGTAAATAAGCACACATGATAATCATAGTAACGTTCTGGATAAAGTTCACTCTGGTGGTGATAGATTATTGTACTACATGTGATTATTGTACTACATGTGTTTTTGTTAGCTGGCTATGTTGAAGTGATGGTGGTTTCCTGTCTGCCCCACTTCCTGTCTAACGTCACTTCCTGGTTTGCTGGTTGTTGAAATCATTTGCTGGTTTTTGACATCACTTCCTGTCTGACATCACTTCCTGTTGGGGGAGCTATAAAACAATAAACACATACCTGTGCTGGGGCTCTTAGCATGGATCTTGGCAGTTTAGTGCAGCATGCATTTGTGCGTTGAACCAAGCGCATTTCCATAACAGTAGCCCTTCCTAATTATTTGTTAGCCTTTCCTACGTGGTCTTACATAATGGCAGACCAAAAATACTAAGGGTGCCTTAGCAGAGGGTCTCAGCAGGGGAAGATGCGGAGTGTCTTACT